CATTATTATTTACTTACATCAGCTTTTCCTAATGCATGTAAAGTTTCTAGTATTTTATGTTGTAGTAAATATTCCATACATGGTCCAGTCTGATCACTGTCATTGTTAGCTTCTTCCTGAGTTAGTATATCCAACATCTGATCTATATGTGATGGAATATTAGTTTCCTCCACTGGAATTGAATCATCTAACAAAAGAAAACATCAGTGGAATAAAGTAAGTGCCAAAATGGGTAGCCAGGAACATTAATTTCCTCACTAAGCAAAATTCAATCTCAGTTAAAGAAATATAAACCAGTTCAAAATGTATCGAAGTGCACATATAGTACAGTCAGTGTTAGTGAGCACCTGTCTATAGTGACCACTTTTAGGCAGTCTCAAGATGTAACAAATACATATGAACCGGTTCACATTCTGTTTATCAAACAAATTTCCTCAAGTTCATTGACTTTTTGATCAACACAAATAAATGTGTTTTTGATGCAACAGTAGTATTTTACTATCTCATTTTTTCCTAGACAAATATTATGTCAATATTATTTAATAATATTATGAGTTGTCAATTGTACAAGTTGCCGACCCAAATAAAAATAATTCAACCTCTATATAAAGATCACCTGTCAATGTACTTTGTATTTTGTGTGCTCACTATACACAGGTTTGATTGTATATCTGTATTTTAGTGAAGCAAAATCACGTTGCAGTATCTACAAAGATGGTATAATAGAAGCATAAAAAATATAGCACCAATTTTGGGCACTGTCAGCAAATGATTAATCTGAATAAGAAAAGGAAATACATACACCACAATTGATAATAATAATGTTATGCTTTCTCTGTCATTAGTAGCCTGACATGTAGGCATGAATGGTGCACTCGCCGGCCGAACGGCATCAGACACCACTAACACCTGACATTACACACATTATGATAAAAATCCAGTGATCACCCAGATAACACTCAAAACAATCCAGAGAGCATCCAAATGTCACTCAAAACAATCCAGAGAGCACCCAAATGACACTCAAAACAATCCAGTGATCACCAAGATAACACTCAAAACAATCCAGGGAGCACCCAAATGACACTAAAAACAATCCAGTGATCAAACAGATAACACTCAAAACAATCAAGTGATCACCAAGATAACACTCAAAACAATCCAGAGAGCACCCAAATGTCACTCAAAACAATCCAGTGATCACCAAGATAACACTCAAAACAATCCAGAGAGCACCCAAATGACACTCAAAACAATCCAGTGAGCACCCAAAAACACTAAAAACAATCCAGAGAGCACCCAAATAAAATGCAAAACAATCCAGTGAGCACCCAAAAACACTAAAAACAGTCCAGTGAGCACACAAAAAAAATGCAAAACAATCTAGAGAGCACCCAAAAACACTAAAAACAGTCCAGTGAGCACACAAAAAAAAATGCAAAACAATCCAGAGAGCACCCAGATAACACTCAAAACAATCCAGTGAGCACACAAATAAAATAAAATAAAATGCAAAACAATCCAGAGAGCACCCCAAAACACTAAAAACAATCCAGTGAGCACACAAAAAAAATGCAAAACAATCCAGAGAGCACCCAGATAACACTCAAAACAATCCAGTGAGCACACAAATAAAATAAATAAAATGCAAAACAATCCAGAGAGCACCCAAAAACACTAAAAACAGTCCAGTGAGCACACAAAAAAATGCAAAACAATCTAGAGAGCACCCAAAAACACTAAAAACAGTCCAGTGAGCACACAAAAAAATGCAAAACAATCCAGAGAGCACCCAGATAACACTCAAAACAATCCAGTGAGCACACAAATAAAATAAAATGCAAAACAATCCAGAGAGCACCCAAAAACACTAAAAACAGTCCAGTGAGCAAAAAAAAAATGCAAAACAATCCAGAGAGCACCCAGATAACACTCAAAACAATCCAGTGAGCACACAAATAAAATAAAATGCAAAACAATCCAGAGAGCACCCAAAAACACTAAAAACAATCCAGTGAGCACAAAAAAAAAATGCAAAACAATCCAGAGAGCACCCAGATAACACTCAAAACAATCCTGTGAGCACACAAATAAAATAAAATGCAAAACAATCCAGAGAGCACCCAAAAACACTAAAAACAATCCAGTGAGCACACAAAAAAATGCAAAACAATCCAGAGAGCACCCAGATAACACTCAAAACAATCCAGTGAGCACACAAATAAAATAAATAAAATGCAAAACAATCCAGAGAGCACCCAAAAACACTAAAAACAGTCCAGTGAGCACACAAAAAAAATGCAAAACAATCTAGAGAGCACCCAAAAACACTAAAAACAGTCCAGTGAGCACACAAAAAAAATGCAAAACAACCCAGAGAGCACCCAGATAACACTCAAAACAATCCAGTGAGCACACAAAAACACTAAAAACAGTCCAGTGAGCACACAAAAAAAATGCAAAACAATCCAGAGAGCACCCAGATAACACTCAAAACAATCCTGTGAGCACACAAATAAAATAAAATGCAAAACAATCCAGAGAGCACCTAGATAACACTCAAAACAATCCAGTGAGCACACAAAAAAAATGCAAAACAATCCAGAGAGCACCCAGATAACACTCAAAACAATCCAGTGAGCACACAAATAAAATAAAATGCAAAACAATCCAGAGTCAGAGCATCCAAAAACACTAAAAACAATCCAGTGAGCACACAAAAAAAATGCAAAACAATCCAGAGAGCACCCAGATAACACTCAAAACAATCCAGTGAGCACCCAGATAACACTCAAAACAATCCAGTGAGCACCCAGATAACACTCAAAACAATCCAGAGAGCACCCAGATAACACTCAAAACAATCCAGTGAGCACCCAGATAACACTCAAAACAATCCAGAGAGCACCCAGATAACACTCAAAACAATCCAGAGAGCACCCAGATAACACTCAAAACAATCCAGAGAGCACCCAGATAACACTCAAAACAATCCAGAGAGCACCCAGAAAAATAACACTCAAAACAATCCGGAGAACACCCAGATCAATATGCACTCAAACATATGCAAGTATCGT